TATTAACCATGTGTGATCTCTCTAAAGCATTCGACTGCGTTTCGCACGATGTTCTGTTCAAAAAGTTGGAGTTTTATGGAGTGAGGGGGCTACCACTCAGTTTATTTCAGTCGTACTTATATAACAGAACCCAATCTGTGTGTGTGAACGGAATCATGTCTGACAATGAAACTATCCAGAATGGTGTACCGCGGGGATCCGTTCTGGGACCATTGCTATTCTTGATATATTTCAATAACTTCAGTCATTATCATGATGTGTTAGAAGGGCTCTGGGAAAATATATTTTCAGAATATTCTATACGGGCTGTAACCACTATCTTAACGGAATAAAGCATCGTCTTTGTTCATGTATGATCATGAATATCATCAATCTAGTGCTTTGCGACTGTTATTTTTAAATGAGATTGACAAGCTTTATCCACTTCCCGGTAGTATCTACAGGGTGGTCTCAGAAGTACCCAGGGTTAAGTGAGTGACTCTGGCATTTATAATTATAGATATGTACCGTTTTTTCTCTGATTCCACACCCATAGCTCGTATCAATTGATCAGGCCATCTTATTAATGCGTATTACTTCACATCTTAAAATGTATTGAACGGATTTTCATGGAATTTGCACTGTTTTCTAAGTTTAATGAAAAAAGGTCGTGGAATAAAAAAAACGTATATTTGTTGTAAGCTCTAATGAATTATATGCAGAAATATTGCAATTTCAATCATATAACATACATACGTGTCGAAATGATTACCAACATTATTGAAATCAGTAAACAGTTTCAACTCCCTGAAATCCACATTCAATCTTGATCTAGTATTCCAAAGTTCTATACCTGTTTTGTATCTGTGATGGTGATTCAGACTAGCAACTTTGGAAACCCCGCAACATTCACAATGTTCGTTTTAAATTATAACAACTTTTTCACACTCTGCGGACAGAGTTTGTTTATTTATCGCCTATTCGAATTAATTTATCGGCGTTTTGCATTTCAACTAACCCGTTTATAAATTGGAAACAGAATGTAGCTTTAATTCACTTCGGAAAATACCTAATATCAAATGGAACGAATGAAAACTATTTCAAATGATGTGAAAATTGAACAGACTGCTAATATGGAAATAATCATAAAGTATCAGCTATCTCCAATTATGAATTTATCTCAATATAAATCCAGAAAGCATTTACTGTGTATCAAATACATTTTTTGATTGTCAAGAAAAGCTTCGACGATATGATAGTCAGTCGTTGTTGAGACGTTTAGATATATTACTGGAGTTTTTTTTTCCCCAACACCAAATCGTTATTTTTAACACCTCGACACGTGTTTCGATCACCAAGTGATCATCTTCAAAGAGGAAGATTAAAACTAAGGACTAGTCCTAGGAAAATACTTCGACTTTTCTTTGGTTTCCATTTCGAATCTGCTCATGAACAGGTCTGCCAGTTAGGGGGACAAGGGGTTTCCCATGGCCGTTCCTTTCTGTTGTTCATAAAAGCAACTTTCTACCTGGAACCGATTTTGTTTCATACACAAATTAGTTAGAGAAACGAATTCATCGATTTCGTTATTATCGAAATTATTTTTCTTTAGTAATTCCCTGAGGTATTGCAAAGTCTATGGAATTGGGACGCTAGGAAATAAGGAACTAACATCAAAAGAAACCAAAATCTCACCTTCTTGGAGAACTACGTTTTTTGTATGTTGTATGAACTCTAAAGAGTTTTTTATACTAAAACCTGGTTCCGCAGTAAACAAGGTTTCAAACTCTTTAGTGAGCCACTTTGCTATTTGGTAGGTAGGAGCTCCAATAGCTGACACGATGGGGCGCATTGATTTTCCCGGTTTGTGGATTTTTGGGAGGCAATATAGTTTCGACACCGTTGGGTTGGAAACTTGTAACTTCCGTTTCAGTTGAGGGGTAAGTATGTTGTCGCATTTCTTAAGGACGTCTTCAACTTCGACAAGCATCTTTGGTACGGTCCGTTAGTAATGAGAGTATTTACCCTTTCATAGTAGTCTGATTTATCCAGAATTAATACTTCGTTACCTTTGTCGGCTTTCAAATAAAAAACGTCCTTTTCTCTCAATCGTCTGATAAGTTTCTTTTGGTTTTTATTGTTGTTTATTGAATGCTTCCGTTTATCTGTTATCTTGTTCTTGGAGATTTGATTCCTGACCTTTTCTCGAACTAGTCCCTTCGAGGAATCGGGCATATATTGAATCGAACTTTCAACACTAGCAACGATATCCTCAAGAACTTTCTCGGAAGGCGGGATGCCAAATTTTAAACCGTTGTTCAAAAGGTTGATCTCTTCCTTATCAAACGATTGTGATGAATGATTTTCAACAATATTTATGACTTTCGGAGAGGGAAAAAAACTCCAGTAACATTCATTACTACACCAAAGGTTCCAAACAGTGCATCATAAATACTTTTAGATGTGATGATGTCTGCCGCAGTAGCAGGTAAAACTTTTGGTACTTATCGATATATTGTTTCAATAATATAAGACATCACTCAGCTCAAAGACCGTTTCTAGGAAGATATGTAGCATCCTAATCCTTTGGTTCAGCTGTTGCAGCATTATACATGCCTGGCGATTTTGATGTTTGAATCACATTGCAAATTCAATGGTCTGTTCTTCCTGGTCTGAGAAACAAAATAATTTTGGTGGAGCAAAAAGGTTCAGCACCAGGATCAGATGACAATACCTTATCCCTTGTCTCTCATGTACACCTACGATTTTGTAGGTACGTGTGGCAGATACACGATGGAAAAAACAACAACTAACTCAGCTAATGCCGCGCATAAAGTTGAAGTGAAACCATCAGGCACCTGTGCAACGTCTTTTTTTTGGAAAACTCGTCGCAAGTTATTTCTCACCATGAAAAGCAGAAATTGAGTTCGGGTTGAACCGCGTCTGGAGTTTTGTGTTCGACGTTTCGGCTCTCATTTTGGAGTAAATTTCAAGAAATTGGGGCCTCAATCTGCCTACTCCCCAGTTCTCGTCATGAGGTATCTGTTTGTGTATGTTGGTTTTCTGTAGACAGTGTAGGTGAAGGAGTTATTGGATGTTGCGATGAGGACAGTCAGGAATAGAAGGGGGTTATTTTCTTCAATTTCCATCGTGGATTTTACATTTGATGGAGGTTGTTGAGGTGATCAAGGAAGGTTTGGAGAGTTTCGGAGCCGTGGGGCCATATGACATAAACGTCATCTACGTATCTGAACCAGCAAGAGGGGTTTTGTGGTCGAACAAGTCAATAGCGTTGGTTTTGAAGTATTCCATGAAAAGGTTTGCAAGGACTGGTGAAAGAGGAGAACCCATGGGGGTCCCTTCACTTGTTTGTAGAAGGTACCTTGGAAGAGGAAGTATGTGCTGGACATACGGTTACTGAATTTGGTGTTTCCTTTCGAAAATGTTCAATGTGTCTGATACGGAGATATTTGTGAATGAAGACACTACGTCTAGCTATTTCACTTGTAATGCTTTTATACAAAATAGTGACTGCAAATGATTTCTTTTAATTTGTCTGAAATTATCTGGCTACGTCTTATTCGATATACATGCCTCAAGCACGGATTTTGTACTTTTTGTATTCTATTTTGAAAGTATTTTGTTGGATTTGATCCTTATACCGAGTCGGCATAACTGAAATAGGATATATCCTAACAAGATATAATCTAATAACGATTTAAATTTAGACACAGTGCAAAAATATCAATAACATTCAAATTTATATATAGATAATAACAATAATGAAGATAAAATAGATAAAAAGAAAACAATTTATAAGAACCAATGTTGAAAAAATATTGATCTAGTAACACACACACATACATATATACATAGTTTTCAACCAACTAACGCTCTAGATATTCCAATAATTTACTTTTGAACCCTCTTCCATTATTTACATCTTTAATGGCATTTGTTAAATCCCCGTAGTCCCTTGTAGAATAAGTTTTTTATACCAGTGTGAGTTCTAAATATATGAAAATAATCATATTGAATAGCTGATTCACAGGAAAAGTATAGGAATAACAGTTGATACGGAAATATTCCTTTATCCAGAGATTTATTCACCAAGTTTAATATCATATACCCAAATACTTTGCTACTAGGTACTTCAGACTTGTTTTTATCGTCTAAAGAATGCATGATCTTTCGCAGTTCAATCATGGTTAACAGTTTGAATTTGGAGAAAGAACTGTTTATAACTGAATAATTTGTGGATAACCATTCACACAGCGTAAACATTCAAAAAAAGTCATAGAGAATTCTTTCTACTCCTCTTGCAGATGCCGGATTAAAGCTGCCCTGTAGATAAAAATCATCAGCAATATTCGGGTATTCTGTATTCCGTTTGCGGTTGTTGATAAGAGTAACATCACGGCATAACATCAGAATAAAGCAGGCAGACAGGTCAGAGAGCAAGCAAGCGACTCGTTGGGAATTGTAGCACCGGGAATTTTAGAGTCGAAGGGGGATCCGACTCACTCCGACCTAGTGAGGAGGAACCATACTCACTTTAATGTCTGTTGCAGGGCCATGGGACTCGGCGGCCTCATAGACGGGGTGGATTGAGATCGTGCAATCATGCATAACGCACAAACTCTTCGGACGACATACCCACATCTGCTATATATGCTGCTGATATTTCAGTTTTATGGTAAGTCGACAATTGTTTTATAAATACGTGACTGGGCGATTTCACATAGCCTACGGAAATACTCTAGAAAGGGGTGAAACACACAAGCCCGGATAGTAAGTTCATATGAATGTATGTATATACTTAATTCACTATCCACACAAATGTTTTATGACTAGTCATAATGCTCACTATACCAATATACAGTCTTTAAAAATGATTTGTACAATGAACACACGGACTGAACAGACGAATAAGTGATCATTAATCAAAAATAATTGAATGTAGTTGAAAACAAAAAATGGTAAAACTGGGACTGTTTATAAGTTAGGGTCTTTTATTAGGCGCTTCCACTTTGAAACAAAGTGTATCTGTGAGATATTATTAAAATTTTGTACTTATGTGTTTGAAAGGCCTATTGATGCCATCAGGTGTAGAATATAACACCGTTCAAATGTTCGCCTTGTCTTCTCTGGATGGAGCGCATTCGAAACGTCCAATTTTTCATGACTCTGGCGTATAAATCAGGCTGTATTTAACCAATGACATGGGTTACGTTAGCTTTGAATACCGCTGTAGTTTGTGGCTTATTTGCCTACACCTGCGAGTCACATCACCTCCACGTGTGATGACAATGCCCTCGTGTGGAATATCTAATGTAGCATGAACTGTGTGGCATATAGCGCCATCCTGTTGAAACCATATGTCGTTGGTGTCCAGATAACCCAATTCAGGTCCTCAAATCGCTCGTGTAGAATATCTAATGTAGCATGAGCTGTGTGGCATGTAGCGCCATCCTGTTGAAACCACATATCGTTGGTGTCCAGATCATCCAATTCTGACCGAAAGAAGTTGGTAATCATCGACATGTGTTCGCCGTTGACAGTGATGGGCCTGGCCAAGTGTGAGGCTTTTCATCTTTTGCAATTCTTAAACTAGCAAGCTATGACGCCTTTATCACTGCGTTTCGCACGATGTTCTCTTCAAAAAGTTGGAGTTTTATGGAGTGAGGGGGCTACCACTCAGTTTATTTCAGTCGTACTTATATAACAGAACCCAATCTGTGTGTGTGAACGGAATCATGTCTGACAATGAAACTATCCAGAATGGTGTACCGCGGGGATCCGTTCTGGGACCATTGCTATTCTTGATATATTTCAATAACTTCAGTCATTTTATGTCACCAGGTAAATGTGTTCTTTTCGCAGATCACACAACTTTAATAACGTCTCAGAAAAACGTAATCGAATTAATATCAATTACTGATGATACTCTGAGACAGGCGTCTCTGTGGTTTACAACAAATCAGTTGAAATTAAATGAAAGCAAGACCCAGAAGGTCTTGTTTACGACCTCAAATACTGAAACCACTGAAAATGGCAATGATACTGCCAAACTACTAGGACTCACTCTTGACCGGAATTTATCATGGTATGCACACATTGATGAACTGAGTAAGCAGCTGTGTAAGAGTATATTTGTTTTTTGACAGCTAAATTGAGTATTGTCTCTTGACGCCCTGAGAAGTTCATATTTTGCTTTGTTCCACTCACATATGAATCATGGCATAGTTTTGTGGGGTAATTCCTCTCACTCTCCATTAAAGTCTTCAACTTCAGAAAAAAGCAGTCAGAATATTGATGAATGCCAATTATAGAGATCACTGAAATCCGCTTTTCAAAAAAGAGTATACTACCACTACCATCGGTATTCATATAAAGTCAATTACTTGAAATCCATAAAAATAAATCAATCTATTCGCAGCATCAGGATATTCATCATCATGCTACAAGAAATGCAGATCTGTTCATACAGCCTCGATACAAACTCACAAGGTCTATTAAAAATTCATTGAATATTAATCTCTACAATCATCTTCCTAATTCGTTCAAAGTGCTCAAACAAAGCCCCTTCAAAAAACGGAGTCAGAACGATTCTCCTGGAAAACTGTTTTCATAGAACTCAGGATTATTTAAGTACTTCAATTATGCCGATTCAGATTCGATTTTATTTCATCATAAATGTGAAGCTCATATTTATACAAAATTTGTTTTTTGACACTTCCAAAAATTTTAGACTGATTATCTTTCATTTTATTCACAATTTATGATTCATAATTTTTTGACTTGTGACTAGTTTTTTTTTCTATGTATATTTTTAACTGACTTGCAACAAACATTCAAGTGTAAAGTTGTCAAATAAATATATCTATCTGTCTATCTACCTATCAAGTTAGTATCAGTATTGACGAACTTCGTCAAACATTGGGTTTTTTTCTACAAAAAAATCAATGGGCTCACCAATCAAATCAGGGTGCTTAGTATTTTGATGTCTCATCAGTAAAGAAGGCTTCATGGATTGGTTCGAAAGTGTTTCAAGACATACAACACATTGAGGAATAGAAATGTCACTGGTTACAGTTCACTATAAAACCGTACTGGCCGGTAATTTAGGTTTTTTGGCATAATCCTTTGAAGTAGAAGAGAACGTCAGAAATCGTTTCATGGTTCAGTTTTCCGATACGAAATCAGAATTAATAATCACAACACCCACAAGGAATATGTAATGCCAAATGGAAGTAAAAGACAATCCTTTTTAAAGACCCACAGGTAAAAAATGAAACACCCTTTGTTTACCAGTTGTTTACTGGGGATTCCTAAGTAAAACTCCTAAAGTATTTTATTCTTTTATTACCTAGGAATTATAAATTCCAATGTGATAGAAAAACAAAGATGTCAGGTCGTTCACTGGGTTATGGGTATTTCGTTTTTCTAACGACCCATGAGCATCACTCACGCGTACCACTTGAAACGTTCCCGCGCACCACTGGTGGTAGGCGTACCACCGGTTGGGAACCTCTGGACTAGACTAACATGGTCAGTGTTGCCAAGTCATGCTCAGCAGTGGATTTTCTGTCAGAAGAACAGTAAATTGATACAAACAATATTAGGAGATGTCTTGTATGAAAGAATACTACATACCCGACAATTTCAACAATTTCAAGTTATTTTCATATTTATTATACAAACTGACCTGCGTCTGTAGTAAAATTTAACTGTACACAGTAGAACAGTAGCCCGGAAGCCAAAACAGTAGAACTGGCAACGCCGAACACAGTGCTCCTCTATTGCGATTTCTTCCTCATTTACAATGTATTCATTTGTGATATTATGCACTACAATTTTGTTGTGAAAGAGTAGAGATTTTTCTTGGCTACGGCATTGTAAAAAACAATGATAGATATTGTTGACTCTGCTTTCATTATGACATAACAATCATTCATGAGCGCAAAATACCAATGGTCATAAACTTTGCTCACCCCATGACTAGGTACTTTCATAACCTAACGAAGCGACAATTTTTATAATCTCATTTTTCGGGCGGGAACAGACCCGACAAACCAAAAATCATGAAAACTCATTAAGCGGTTTTTGAGTTAAAAATGGTATAACTAATATGATTTTGGTGACTTTATTTTATATATCAAAACTTCACCGTTTTTCCAATGATACAATAGATTTTTATTGATTTATTTTGGGTCCTTTCACAATCTGAAATTACAAAAATTCAATGGAGAACTACTGCTATATTTCATCTCGATAGGTTAGTGCGTGAGTTGAAAGTATTTTTTGCATATTTCATGTGTTTGATGATTTTGCCTAACAGAAAAACAAATGAATGGTACATAATATTTCGGAGGCTGAAATCAGTCTTCGTCCGTTGATTTGGAAAAAATATTATGTTATGTTATGAAAATGAAAACGAAACAAATAATAACTTGCAAGATCCGTTAGATTCAAGATGTACGTGAATAGAAATTATGGTCGAAATATAATTTTTTTTTGTGAAACAAATTGCCATGTTGAACGAATTTCCTACTCCACCTATGTTCTTCATATGGCCAAAAATATCTATGAATTTATTGTGCAATCTTACTTGTTGAAATATATGTTAATTTTCAATATTATTCTCAAGAAGTTCAACTCCCGTAAAAATTGTTCATGCAATCTCACAAACATACTATGATTTTATCAGAGTTTACAAGCTGATGTGAAACTCCGACAGAAAAAAAATTGGCATATATGCTACTCACTCGAATTCAGGGCGAACCGCTGGGTCCCTTATAAAAAATAGGAGGATGACACCTACGCTCAGGGGATTGAACGTTTCGAAATTGTTCACCTTACAATGGAAACATTTTTCCCGGGCAGTTGTATTCGACCTAAACAGAGCCAAGCTTTAACCTGAGCTCGCCTCGGCTAAGCCTTGGCTTGACTCAAAGCTCGACTCGACTCTGGAATCCACGGCTTGGCTCGAAGTTCGATCGTGTCGCGCTTCGAGCCATTTCGATCGAGTCTAATCAAGTCGAGCCGAGCCGAGTTTAAATAGTTCATTCCTATCCATTTTGAAAAAATACTCATGCCCAGCCCTAGAAAGTTGGGTTTTTTTTCAGATTCTGAGAGTCTGAGATTCTAACTATAACTATAAAACGACATTTCCCCCCAAGTTTTTGAATTTTCATCACAAACAAGATCAGAAGTTGGCTAGACCTTCTCACGTTGGGTTGATCCTACCAGATTCAACATTAGAATAACAAAAATCAGTATAAAATTCCTTAGGTAAATATAAATAGAAACATTTATTCAACATATTTCTGAAGAGGTCCAAAATGCACGATTTTTCAGGACAGACATTCTGTATATTTTTTCTACTTCATGAGATAGACAACTAGTTTAAAACTTTCGGTAATGTCGGGGTTTGACAAAAATCAATCCTTGAGGAGTTGAAAAGGAGAAGTAGACCTTTTAATTGCACTCAGTTATATACTTGAGGACACCCACTCCTGAGATTTCTAATAGTCTATCTCTGAGGAGTGAGAAGGGATCAGAAACCTTTCATGGTTCGAAAATTATCGAAAAGAATCGAAAGCTCGGCACGGTTCGAGACCCTCCGGCTCTTTCTAGGACTCGAACGAATGCGGCTCGGCTCGAAGTTGGGCTTGGAAAACTCATTTACATCCC